AAAGTCGTCGCAGATTCAGTAGTGGTTTATTCCAAGGAGACTACAGGTCCCTAGTGAGGTTCTTGAAAACAATTTTAAACCATTTTCTCAATTTAATTTTACAAATAAACCAAAGTTGATTTGCTTATGACTGAATCTTTGTGATCTCTTACCTTATCCCAAAATAAAATGATTGATGATAAAAGATCAGTGTACTGTTACGTCACCAATTTCATATGCATAACAAACGATAGGTAGACATCTCGGTAAAGTTATGTAAATGAGTAAGGTAAGGAGTGAAGGTCATGAAAAGGAACCTTGTTATTTTTAAACATTATTATTTTATTGGGTCCTACTATCTTTCACACTACAACGAAACTAAAACCCCACAAATTTTCAATAATATATGCTAGCTACATAGCTATAGCTATACATAGCTATGTATGTAACTACATATGATGGTCTGCCCGGTATTTTTGTCATACCCTCCGTGAAGTAGCCTCGCGCTGGTCCCCTTTATTATAGCTATAGCTATTGCTATATGCTATAGCTATGAAACTTTACTGAGCTAGGAAAACGAGGTACAAAACATATCGCCATCAAAAGAAATCTTCTGACAGCTCAAATAGTGACTCTGGTAAGGTGCTTTTCTGCAAGATAGATCTAGAAAAAGACTTCTCACAGCCGTCTGCTTTGATGTCAACTTGACATAACCAGTTTATAACTCTTCTAGATTCATCACAAGCAAACTCTCCAAAGAGGGCTAGGAGAGACAGTTCCCCGCTACCCAACCCCACATCACCTGAAGAAAATTCGAACACTGCTGTATCAGGTTTGTGCATTGCTAGATATTTGCCAGCATTTTTAGTAAATTTCAGATTGTTAAGTCCAATTAAGTTTGAGCAGTGAATGCTTTCCTAGTGCTAATATTGTGTGTGGTGGTGATACTGTACTTCTTTTTTTATTAATGTTGACATCGTCTTTTATTACAGAAGCTTCAAATGCCTCAGTCTCGCCTTGCTCCTCTCCGGATAGAGCTCATGAACATGTCGAACCTGGGGATGATGCAGATTGTGAGGGTGTGAGTGACGTGGAGGGCCATTTACAAGGTAAATATATGTTTGTTTCTCTGAGAGGTCATTTATGATTTGTTATAAGCAAAGGTTCTGTAACACTTAACTATTGTGTTGGCTTACTGCGTCCATTATTTTATTTTAGTTTTTTTTTTTTTAATTTAATTATTTTCTGTTGTTTTTACAGAAGGCATGAATGTTTCACACTCACCTGGGGAAAGTGAAGAGAATGAAACTGAGCAAGAGGGAGAGGAGAATGATGAAGGCGAAGGACTTGGAGATAGAAATGAAGAGCAAGCAGCAGAGGACAACATGGAACCATTTGGAGGAGGGGGTGGAGGTGGAGTAGGTGATAGTGAGGGAAGTGGAGAAGACACAGCAGTAGAGAATGATTGTGAAGAAATTGAAATGGATAATGAAAGTGAAGCTGATGTTGAAGATGATGACGATGATGACCATGATGATGACCCTCTCTACAATGGGGCTCGGTCAACTTTCGGGCAAAGTATGCTAGCCATCTTAACTTTTATTTTAAGTCATAAACTAACAGGCATTTGTGTAAATGACTTACTGTCATTAATAGAGTTACACTGTGCTGCAAACAATCTGTGTGTGAAAACTATTTACAAGTTTAAACAGTATTTTAAAATGATAGGGAAAAATTTTATCACTTGTCACTATTATTGTTCCGTGTGTCAACTAGCTGTGGCCGGGAAGTACTAGAGCTCCCCCCTCCTAGAGCTCCCCCCCTAACATCTTACGTATTTTTCTGATTAGAAGTAATTAATACCCAATTTTCTCATTTA